CCTCCTTACAAATCACTTCCATTGACTGTCCAGATTTCAAGTGGAGGTACATGAACCACCATTGTGAGGTAGCTATTATGGCGAGTACACAGACAAGGAAACAGGTTTGGTAAAGCCCAAGGTTACCCTGCTAAGGGTGCTAAAGTCAGGACTCTTAAGCCATGTCTGCCATCTCCATCCCTAGCAATACCCATCATGCTCTGCTGCACATGAAAAAGATTGCATCCAACGTCATAGGTGGTCAGGTTCGCCCAAGAGAGCTGAGCTTGTCTACACCCCACACCAGACTGACAGCTTCTACACTGAGTCTCATCAGCACATCAATGACAATGGGCTGTGGGGAGCTCTCAGGGCAGGTGCAGCAGTGCCAGCCCCACACTTCTGTGTATTTGGTGGTTCATCAGATCCGGGGAGTCCAGGCTGCTGGGTGCTCCTGAAAGAGACCAGCTACCCAGAGCCCTAGTACACTTACACTGAAGAGAACCTGGCTTAGGGGCACAGGCTCCTGGGTCAAGTCCAGGGCATGAGAAAGGATTCTTCCCGGTATTTGTTTCTGGGTAACAACTAGGGTTCCTCACATCTGCATTCATGCCAGGGCCTCCTGGTCTTCCTCCATCACCCCTCCCCAGCTTCCCAGCCAATACTTGCCGCCCACTCTTTCCACAGGCCACTCCAACCCAACCATGGGGAACTGGGCTCACATGCCTCCTCGCAAACCAGCTCCCCTTCCCGATTTCCCCAGGAACCTCAGTCAGTACCCACTCCAGGCACTCTAACCCATTCTCTACCCAGCTCCCAGCTCAAGTCCCCCCTTCTACAGGAAGCACTGCCTTCCCCCCACTCCCGCAACTTCTCCACATGAGCTCTCTGCCCTCTGAACAGTCTCTGGTCCACCCCACTTGCTTGGCACCTATCACTACCCCATGACATCTCTTGTGATTATTAAATTGACCTTTTACGTTAAAAGGATGTAATACTGTGGCTGAACTATTTTTTTTTCCGTGAGTATCCAGGGCTTCTACATCTTCGAGTGCTGTTCCTTCCAAATGGGTGACCTCAGAAAATTTACTCCAAGGTATTTTCTCATCCAAGGAGGTGGCCATGGCTCCCAATCTGGATTCTGCTCTGGGTCTCCCAAGGACCCTGGCTACAGGAAGAGAGGCTTCCCTCTGCCACAAAGGTAAAGGAGTGGGAACTAAAAAATGATTTCCTGGAAGAAATCACCATGGACACTGAATTTACGCCCACCCCAAGCACAAAGCTACAAAAACTTGGAACAACGTCCAAGAGTGTTCAGGGCTCTATCTTTTGATATCAACAACATGGAGTGGCCTGAGGGCAACGCTGATTCTTCTTCTCTCCTAGGTGGTCCTTGCACATGCCTAGGCATGAGACAATCTAAGCAGAGCATGCCTAAAGTGCCCAGAGGTGAGCTCTGCCCAAGCTGCCTTGGGCCAAAGAACATGGAGCTCACTGGCCAGGCTGTGGGAAAAAGGGCGGGACTGCCTCCACCTGCACACTGAGGACGGAGCCCCATTTTAGGCTTCTCGGGGCTCTGAGCCGGGAGAGGAAGCGGTGAGCCAAGCAGCTCATGGCCGTCAGCCCTCCTGCAGCTCCCCGCGACTGCCTCTGGAAGGTAAAAGCTGACTAGAGCTTATTAGCACCCCATGCCAGCTGGCCCCTTCCCCTCAACTTCTCACACTTCCTGCCCTTCAGCTGACCGGGGACCTTCCCCTTGCTCTCCTAGAAAGCTCCTCCTGGGAATGCCCCCACGACAGCCACTCTACACTGTCTCTCAGCCTTGGAGATTCTGCCTGTCACTTTGTCCTTCGGTTGTTTCCAGTGAACAGTTCCTGTCTTTCCAGTTAAACAATAATAATAACTCACACCTGGAGGCATTTAGAGCAGTGGTGCTCAACCTTGGCTGCATGTGAGGATCTACCGGAAAGTTTAAAAAATAATCCTGAGATCCAGGCTACACCCCAAGTAGTTCAGAACCTCTGGGGACAAGATTCAGAATCAGGGGTTTTCAAGCTCTCCAGTAAACCATCAAGGCTGACCGTCACTGCTCCAGACCTCCAGTCTCCTATAAACACTAGGTCATCCGAGCTCCATGTCCACCCTGGGAAGGACCATGGGACAGGTGTTACCCCATTCTAAGCAAAAGCTGAGGCTCTGAGAGGCATCCACCACACGGAGCTGCAGCAGGGCTGGGTGTGAAGCCGGGTGTCTGCACCACAGATTCAGGACTTTTATTGTAGCCTCATGCCTTTCCAATTACTACGAGCTGCAGAGGGCACCCGTTGCTTCCAAAACTCTGTCTGCCCTAAAATAGCTAACATGATGCTGGGCATATGCCAGGACTTTGATAGCTGGGAGTACTTCCCTCTGGGCCCGGTTAGGTCTCTCCAGAAGTCTCAGTGTCACAGAAGCCCAAAAAGAGGGGCCAGTGAGACCCCAATAGTGGAATCAACAGGTCATGGGTCAGCCTTCAAGGCCACAGTCCCCTCTTCCTGGGTGCTCTGCATTAGTCACAGCTGTCTTAGCCTTTAGTGTACATCGGGTGACCACCCTTCCTGGTTCACTTCAGCCTGAGAAAGTTACCAGAATTCAGGACTTTTAGTTTTAAAACCAGGACAAACTGGTCACCCTACTTCTCTCTCCCCAGGCTTGGTTGATGCATTTTCCCTCATGGAGTCAGCCCCATGCCTCTCCTTTTATCATCGTTGCTGTTGAGGGCTTATGAGCACATTATTAGTGGCATCAGTGGCCATGAAGCTTCCAGCTTCTTCCTGGCCTGGCCACAACAGTTAAACCACTGCACCGATTTCTCAGAAGTCTGTTACCCACACGGGCTGGGCTCATCACGGGCTCTCCTGCAGGCCACTGGCCCGACAGCTATTGAACACCTATGATGGGCAGAGGATACCAAAAGGTCCCTACAGGGAGGACACGCCTGAACACCTACCATTCCCCAGGCAATGTGCAGTACTAGAGGCATGGCCAGGCAGGGCGCCAGGATTCATGGAGGTACCGTAGGATTGCGGAGTGTCCGTGGCCCAAAGCAGAAGAAACATCTTGTCCAAAGGTGCAGATGTGCAAGACTATGGCATGTCCGAGAAGGCTGAACAGCCCAGGGAATGTGGAGAACCAGGGAGAAGTAGTGGAGGTGTAAGGGAGGGGGCAATGGAAGGCTGGTCTGTCACAACTAAGGTGCTTTACTCAGCAGACACAGAGGCATCAATGAGGGGGGCCGGGAAGGACTTCGCCCCTTCCCAAACCAGATGGGAGAATTCAGCTTCCCCCACCACACACCCCCAACCCAGCTGGTCTAGGGCAGTGGTTCCCCTGGTGTGGCCAAAGGGAAGTCCGCTGAGGTCTGCCTTGCCTCAGAATGCTCTTGGGTTAGAACAGTTTTTTCTTGGGCCTGGACAACCCTTAGAACTCCTGATGACTAGGATGCAACCCAGGCCAGTTAAATCAGAATGGATCAGGGCAATTCTTACACACGTGAATATCTAAAAGCTCAGGAAGGAATCCCAGCCTACTAATCCTGCGCTGGAGGGCACCAGGGATGAGGCCAGGGAACTGCCAGATCCCCCACCTCCATCCTATCTCCTTTCTCTCCCATGTGCCTAATCAAATGAGGGGGCACAGAAAAGGGAGTTGGAGTGAACACACATTTTGAGAAATGCTTTTCCACATTTGTTTTCAATATGCCCCTGTGCTGAGGGAAGGACAGAAAGGGGAGGAGTCCTGGAAATCAGAACTAGGATTTCAGGTCCATTTTGGCCACAACCCGAGAGCTTCAAGAAACAGCCCAGAACCACCACTCAGCAGGAAATTTTGCATCTAAAAGGAACCAATACAAATTTGTGGTTGTTTCCTCCTCTCAGCACACCAGGCCTATCGCACTGAGCGGCGTTCCAAAACCCAGCCACAGATGGGGTTATGCCGCCCCCTAGGGGCAAAGCCTGCATGCAGCTCCTGATAGCCACTTCAATACCACCGCCCCCAACAACTCTACCACTTTCAACTAGGAAGATATTTTAGGACAGAGAACCTGCCATGCAAGGTGCAACAAATGGCTCAGAGCCCCAATCCTAGCAGGCCACCTTGGTATTCTGCATCTCATCCCCAGCATGGGAGGCGGTTGGTGCAGTGGTTATGAACTTGGGCTATCAAGCCAGACAGAACGGGGCCAACTCCTCCAAGGCTCCCTGCAGGGGCCCTGGGACTGTCACTAAGCTCAGCCTCCTCACCTGCACATTTAGGATAATACAGGACCTAATTCAGAGGGTTTGTGAAGAGTAGAGGTGCAACCCAGGGAAATAACCAAGCCTGACTCCCAGTAAGGGCCACTTCCAAGCTGGCAGTATTAATGGTCTGGGTTTTCCTCTGAACAAATATGACATTTTCCCAACCCCTATTCAAACAGTAACAGTACTTCTTTGCTTTGGCTGCTAGGACTCAAAGCCAAATTAGGGATTCCCCAGAGCATTTCTGTGAGGGCTTCACGACCTGCATTTGAATTTCTTTTATTGGTAATGACAGTCTACTCTGCTTTATTATTGGTCCTCACATCTTTAGATATCACTATTTTAGTTATTTCCTGTAAGTCCTCTCAAATCTTTCCTGGAAAAAGATAGGGTATAAACAAGTAAGATTTTATTTTGAACCAGATGAGTTCTACTCTTCACACATATATGCTGAGTTAGTTCAGTATATATTTTCAAACGCTATCATCTTTTAAGACAAAAGCCTTCCAAAAGACAGTGATTCTAAAATACTCTATCACAATGACCTTAGAGATTTAAAAAAAATGTTCTAATTCAGGTTTGGGGTAAGCCCCAGGAATCCATAATTTTAAGTTTTCCAATTGCTTCTGAGAGCCAGCCTGGCTCCTGACCATGGAGCAGTGTTTGAGAATCTCTGGTCTGGAAACATAAAAAAAGGGGATATTAATTATAACAATGAATGTCAAATTCCTTTGCAAAATATAATTTTGTAAATAAAATAAATCTCAAGTTTATTCAACTGATGTATTTCAAAAACAATGGGGGTAAACCCAAATCTGCAAATCAAATCCACTTAAATTCATTATAGCAAAGGACTTAGGAAAAAACCCAGCAGTAAAGCCTTCTATTAAACTAAGATTCTCCTACTTAGTCTTTGAATTTGGTTTCTTAAGATGGTCACACCTGGAGTTAACTTTGGTGGAATGAAGATATTCTCAAGTACCCTGCCAGCCGCCTGACTTAAAATTATAATAGACACACCAAAATCCTGTACAAGGTCGCAGAAACTGTCTACTGGAGATTCTTGCACCAGCCTGACGGAAAGATTCCCCCTAAGTCCACTAGATGGTGCTCTTTCCCTGGTCTGGGACCCTTCCCTACACTCTGGGGACTATTTAACAAGAGCCAGTTAGTCCAAGGAGAGTCTCAGGAGGCACGAAAAACCCAACGTGCAGGAGGGTAGGAAGTCTTGGAATGACATGTTGTCCTAGTGCCCTTGGGTTTCCACACTGGCTGCTGTTCCCTAGCCATGGGTGTGAAGACCCACAAAACGCCTCCACAGTTTTTATCAGAAAGCAGGGAGAATGGCTCTCAAGGTGCAGGACAAAGGCCTTACTTCTGGTTCATCAAGGCCGACTATCCCTATAAAGGCAGGCTTGGAAACACAATGGTACACACTACAAATACCAATCACCTCAGCCAATGGAGGGCGGTAGGGACAGAGTTCCCAGCTCCCAGAGTTCAAGTCCAAATGGCTTAGTTGCTCCTTGCACACCTTCCTCCAAAGTGTGCTGTCTGGCAGGATCGTAGGTGCCCAGGGGACAGGACAGCCAGGTCTGCGCAGGTTAAAAACCCATTTTATAGACTGCCAAGACACCCGTGCTAGCAGGGTGCTGGGTGTGATGGAAATGTCAAACTGTGCCTTCTGTGCCTTCTCAAAGTTAGATCTAGGTCTGAAGATACCTTGACCCTTCTGTCTACCCTCCCACCCCCCATTTTCACACCGGCAGGGTCCTCAATCCTTTCATGAAGGGGTCGTAGATCTTCCCTCCTTGGAAACCCAGGGCCCTTGTTTAGCCTGAACAGGTAGGAGCAATGGCGACCCCACTGAAGTGTGAAATAAGAACCTAGGAAACTGAAGTTAAAAATTTGTGACGATTCAGGAACATTCACCAAGAAGGGGCCTTGCCACAAATGTGCCTGAAAAGACCAATACTGCTACAGAAACAGGTAGGAGGTAAGGCAGGTAGAATGGAACATACACAGAAATGGGGAAGAAGACAGAAGATAGTCCAAGTGAGAAGCAACAAGGGCAGGAAGCAGGTGGGGCAAGACAATCCAAGGTGGAGTTAATACTGACCAGGTTTCCAGTTCTGGGAAATTTTGAGTGTTACTTTATGTCTTACCATAAGGCTACTGAGCCTAGGGCTGGTAGGGCCTGTGACCGATGAAAAAATAGGCTAACCAGGTCTTTCTGCTCCTTGTAGCAATTGATCACAATAGACAGACTAGCTTTACAGTAAATCCCACAATACACCAGGTATTTGTACAACCTTAATCCAGAAGGAAAAAGGTTCTGGTCCCTGAAAACAGAGTCTCACAAGGACAAAGACGAGGGATGTCTCCAGAGCGGCATCTGTCCATACTGGCTGGGCAGAATGGGGGTTTGGCTGGCAGGTGCTAATATATTCCAGGGAAGGGAAGAGAGTCAAAGAATTGGAGATGCTGAAACTAGAGAAGAGGCTGTCATGGACAAACCACTATCTTTGCTCATAGCTACTTTCTAAGGGGCAACAGCCCACCAGGCTACAATCCTAGAACCTTAAAAGCCAACCAATCTATTACTACTGGAAAAAAAATCAGTGACTAGGACCTTCAGCCTTAAGACTGAACACTCCCAGGGAATAATACTGGCCTCACTTTAGAAAGGAGAAACACCCAACAGCTGTAATGTGGAAAATCTTACTCACTGCCAGCAATAGCGTCAATGCCTCTGTTTCCTCTAGGTAGCTGCTTCCAGGGAAAGGTGACAGTATTAGCAGTTAGTCATCTGAATGTCGTTTGGGGGCAGAGAGGAGGTTAGATAGTGGCAAAAACATGTTAAGTCCATCTATTCTAATGGCGTAGGAAAAAAGGTCTCTTCCCCCACTTCTCTTGGCTTCTGCTCCAGTCTACCCATCAGGAGCCAGACCACCAGGTGATGACCAAGTGTGGATGGTCCTGTCCACAGGGCTCACCACGAAAGCCTCCGGAGCACACACCAGACATGTGAACAAAATCACCACCATTCTTTTCCTCCCCACTTCCTTCTCCAGCCCTTACCCTTACATTACTTCCTCCCCCAGTGAGAGAGAGAGACAGGTACTCTTTCATTTCCTAAGCACCATGCATCTTGGTGGCACTAACTTCCCCCCTCCAAGAGTCACAGAAAACACAGCAGGTTGGAAACTCCCACGAAGTTACAGATCACAATTACTTGCAAGTGGTCTTCACAGTTAAGGTGGGCATACATTTCAGAAGGCAGCCTGAGGGCCGCCTCTCTTTCACGCACACACACTCATACAGGCTCTCACGCAGTGGGCACGTTGCTCAGGTCTTGCGTGTGGCTGGCTCATGTCAGGTACTGTACCGCGAGGAACATGACCACGCAGGTGAGCAGCATCCCACCTATCATAAAGTACTTGTCCTGGAAGGCCCGCTTCTCAATGAGCCGCATCACTGTGTTGGACAAGCCCAGCATGTTGGCAATGTCAAGGATCTTCTTCTGAGTCCCCTAGGACGGACGAGAAGAGAAAGAGTAACAAAAATCATCTTTGCTTTGCCAAGGGTGGGTGAATGTCATTATGAGATTGGGCTTTACTAAACAATAGTCTCCTGGTCATGCCTAAAGCATATAAAAAGCAGCATCAACCAGAAGCAGATCTCATATGATCAAATGACTTTTGATCAAGGTACCAGAGCAAAGCAAGAGAGAAAGAAATGTCTCTTCCACAAATGTGCTGGAACAACTTAACAAATAATAACTATCACATGTATGTACCATACACAGATATGTATCATATACATGTATGTAAAAATGATTCATATTATACATAAAAATTAATTCAAGGTGGATCACAGATTAAACATAGAAGCATCTAGAAAAAAGAAAAAAGCACAGAATACCCAAAAACTGGGAACAATCCAGGTATACATCTACCAAAGGATGGAGAGACAAAGTATACCTGCACATGGGATACTGCTTGGCAATAAAAAAGACCTAATTACCAACATGCAACAATGAGTGAGCATGGAAAACATTCCTGAGAGGAAGAAGCCACACACAAAATAGAAACATGAATATATCTGTATGAAGTTCAATGACCAGCAAAACTAATCTATGGTGAAATGAATCGGAACAATGGCTGCCAGGGGTGAGTGGGGATGGCGGCAGACTGACAGGGGGAGGGCGTGAGGGATCATTGCGGGTGATGAAAATGGTCTGCGCCTTGACAGCAGTGTGCATTACAAAGGAATATGCATTCGTCAAAATTCAATGACCAGCACAAGTAAGACTGGTATGCCTACTATCCATACATTATTATTTCAGTAAGAATTTTTAAAATTAGAACATTTTATATATTAAAAAAAGCATCAAAAAACTTTTTCTCAAACCAGTGTGTGTGTACGTGAAACCATCATAAGATTGTATATCAATGATACTTTAAATAAAAAAAGAAAACAAAACCTTTTTCTCTTCTCCCTAGCTCCAAGATCCTTGCTTTGAGATTGCTCGCTTTGTAGAGTAGAAACCTCAGGGATGCTGCTGAGTACAATGTGCGGGTCAATGTCCACGTTTGGGAGGGTTTGAGGTAGGCAAGATGGAAAGACAGAACTATGACGACCTCAAACCCCTTACATAAACATTACCACCTACCACCAAAAACAAAAGGGCATTTGATTCCTAAACCAACAGCCTAAACCACCCACCCAGCCTGCTCTCCTTCTCTGCTTTCTAACTTCCATTTTTAAGCACATTCAATTTCTTGGGAAGTAACAAATATACAGGAATGCTGGGAAGACCCCTACTTGCTTATATACACACCTCCAATTCCATTTGTGTGGATGGCATCTACCTAATGCCCCATATCCATTTTTTAAACTGACAACAGATTAACGACCAACTGGGAAGAGGCAAGAGCACTGGGAACACCACAAGGCACCATGGCCACGAAATCAAAGCCCGTTCTGCCCAGTGACTAACAAGCCTCACCGAGAGAGAGATCGCTCAAGTCAAACGTGACTAATGACAGAGGGGGGCACAGTCCTGCTTTCCTCAACAGTGATGGTAAAAAACAGACTCTCACTAAAGATTCTGCTTAGCTCTGAAGATGTGGATTAATTCATTACCCTATGAAGTTCAAGTATCAAGCTTCTAAAATCAACTGAAAATTAACACACATTTCAAAGAATGTGCTCATTTTCAACCATGAATTTCCCTAAATCGAGGTCCAGCTCCTCTCAAATTGGTTTAGGCAGAAATGGGGGGACAGTGGGTGAGAGAATCAAGAGACAAAAGAGGCAGCAGTAGGCGTGCAGAAGAAACCGAGTTAGAAACCTCACATTCTAACTCCAACCACCTCACCAGGCTCCCAGCACTTCGCTTCTGGTGACTGTGTAGGGGCACAAGTTGCTTGGACTCCTCCATGATACCAGACTTCAGGAAGAAACTAAATTTGCTTTAGCCATAAGCTCTAACCCCCACTAGGTAGATGTTAGTGCAGGAGAGTCTTCTCCTAAAAGGTTTTAATGTTTTCCTGAGATATGGGAAGGAACCAGCAGTTTTCTAAAGAAAGGGCAGATTAATCACGTATCGGTTTAGATTACGCAGGAGGCCTTTTTGAAAGGGGGGCACCCGTGAAACTGTCAGAGACCACACTTCCTGACCATGTAAAGCGCTGCAAACATCAGCAGGAGGTGTCCCTTGCAGCTTGCCTGACCTTCTCCCTGGTAAAGATGGCAGGGGCTATGCAGAAGGGACAGAAGTCCTGCAGAGCTGACAGGCTCAACATGGGCCAACAAAGACTAAGATAAGTTCGCACTTCCGAGGGCCTGTTTCTCACAGCTCAGTGGCTGGGAGTGCTTCGTTCACAGGGGACCACACCCTGATAACAGGCACAGCCTACACCCCATTATCCATCAGGGTTGATACAGGAAATGGGCTGAGGCAGAAACAGCATGACTGACATCAGAAACTGTATAATGTTCCTACAATCTACTCCCAGGGGTTTGAGTCCCAGCCAATGGGGCAGGGCTTCTAGGAAGACCTGTGACTAAACAGTGAAGAGTCGCCGTGGATGACAGCCACGTGCTCTAGAAGCTAACTGCTGCTAGCCAACCACTGCAGCCCTAAGACCCCACCGCTGCAGATTCAGTCACGGGGGTAAAAAAGGTCTTGGTTATAAGGCAGTCCACAGTAGAGGCCCTATGAGAAAACACTTGGGAGTGGGGCGCTGAGCACAGCCACGTCCTCCTCCTTGCGAGAGTAGATACTCTGTGGCAGAATTCCTTACTCTGGTACTGGCTCCTCTCGTAGCGATCATTTTCACGCTAAGTTCAGTAAATGGACAGAGACCTAGATACCAACAGATGCCATACCATGGTTCACTGCAAGCACAATAAATACCTACTGGCAAAGGGAATTTGGTTACTTCTGGACTCGACAATTCATCTCCATGAGGAAGAATCCCAAACTCAAGGGCTCTGCCCCATCATCCAAATACCCAATTTGGGAATTCATAATCAAAATGTAAATGCAGGTACCAAACTGTTGGGTGGGCGAGGCCAAACAAGAGACCTTCTCCCTGTCCCCCAGAAGGGTCCCCACCTTCAAGGTCAGTCTCTGGGCCCTTAGTCCCTCCAGAATACTGTGCCCGCCTCCAATGAGGTCATCCATGCCGTGGTGAACTTTCTGGAGGGAGGAGTTAAACTGCAGTGACTCATCCATTGGTATGGTGGTGTCAGAGTCCTGTGAAAGAAATGCAGGCACTTGATTAACTTTGCTTGCTGGCCAGCTCCTGGGGTCCCACTGTGTCTGACTGTTCTGCCTTTTGACCAAGGCCAAGCCAGAAGAACAGCCAGAGGGAATGATGCAAGAATCGGAGGAACCTAACAGAGCAGAAAAAGCAAAGCAAAGATCTGGGGAGGCTTCTGTTCACTGAGGTGAAGAGGAATCTTCCTCAGACCTACCCATCTTCAAATGAGTTCCGCTACACAAGTCTTGTTAATTCCTGCCTCTGTATCATTACCTCCTCGTAGGAATAACACTATTCCTTTGAGAACTCACTGTGCTTCTCCTAAAAGCATTCTCTGACCACTTCTCTAACTCGTAACCTAGCTTGCTCCCAATGTTCCTTTACTTGGCTTCCCCGTAACATAGCATTAAATGTCTGCTTCTGTTCTTTAGGACTTTTATCTGTAGCTTATCCCTCCAATTAGACTGAGACTGACAAAGCACAGGAGAGACTGTGCTTTCTACTGAAGGCCTGATGGCATTCAGGATGGGACTGTCTCCTCAGCAGGCAAGAGGAGTCTTTCAAGAAATGAAGGGAGAAAAAACTAATACTGATCAAGTGCTTTCCACTTCGCATGTTCATTACCCCAAGCTCGCTCAATCCCCACTCTAACCTCACAAGGGAGTTACTGTATTATCTCCATTTTAGAGAGGTGCAGTAACTTGTCCAAGATCACACAGAGCTGGTAAGATGTCCGGCGGGGCATGAATCAGTACTGAGCGCAGAGCCTGCCCTCTTTAGCATCCTGTAGGGAGAAACACCAAGACCAACTCTCGGGCTCTCATTTTACACTGAAAGTAGCCTGTACACAGAAGCAAGTCACAACTAGCCATAATACTGCTCTCTTTCCTGCCTCCTGCTAATCACAAACTCCTCTGCCAGGCAGTGCTGGTTTTATCACTTTCAATCATCACCAAGAAGTTAGACCACCTTTTTTTTGCTGCTCAACTTCAGATTCATACACAGGTTTTCAATCCCCCCTGCTAATCAGGAGCACCTTAAAGTGTTCTGCATAGAGCTAATGCTCAGTGAGTCAAAAGACTCCAGTGTTTTGAGTGAATCAAGTAGAGACCTCTCTTCATTTACCTGACAAGCATTTACTGAATGCCTCTTACATACAAATCTTTCTTACCTTCCCACCTTAAACAGTATGTTAATAGGCCATTATATCTTAGAATAATGTATTATAGCTCCAGATTGCAAAAGAACAGGGAAGTAGTTCATTCGGTAAGTCAGTTTTCCTTAAGCATCCACTGTGTGCCTACCAAGCTGGTAAGAAACAAAATAATTCTAAGCCATCATCCCTGGCCTTAAAAAGGCTCTGTCGAAAGCCCCCAGAACATCTTTTAGTTCACTACAGTTCACTGTAGTTCAGTGTAGAGTTCATTATACTTTTGAAAGGAAGTTACGCTTACCACTGTATCACCAACACGTCCTCACTACACTTCTGAACTGTTAATCACTGTCCCTTGACTGCTTACTTTAGAGAAACAAAAAATATTCTGAAACACTCAGAGAAATTTACTGCAAGTATGGACACAGCAAAGAGTGTTAAACATCTGCGAAGTGGGAACTGATTTGAATTTGGATGGCAGGCTTAGAAAGCTAAGACCTCTTTAGAAAATGAATCTATTAAAAAAAAAAAAAACCAAAAACCCCTGAAACCCACCTCATTTGGTGAAATATATTATGCGGGACATGAAAAAAGCAGTTATGTTCTACAGCCATTTGCAGGAAATGATCCTATGGAGACAAAAGGACAGGGCCAAGGGCGCTCTACAAAATCAAACATGCAAACCAACAGGCCACTTTTAAACAGGCTCAAGTCATGCAATCCATCTAAAACAAACGATCTGTTAACAAATTCCTCCAAATTGCTGCTCAGATTAGGAGCAAAAACATTTTAATGCATCTAACACTGGAACCACACACATACATGGCACAATGGCAAGTGCCCGAAGGCAGCTTTGAAGTGCCGCCCTCACTACTAACAGTCTAAGGTCTCATCTGTCTCTATCTGATCAGAAAAACGCTTGTAGCATGAGAAGTTGCACCCTCTACATCGGACCAGTCAAACCAGGTCATTTCCATCTCTGTCCAGCTCCTTCCATTTAACTGTTTCCTCTTCAGGTTTTCATATAAGAAAAAAGATTCCCTGTCCCCGTCTAGTCTCTGTGGTAATGCACAAAGTCTACTGTCGTTTCCAGTTGGCCTCCTCATCAGTCTGCTTCAGATAACCCCTAAACACATGAAGCTCAGAGACGTGAGTTCTAGCTCTGACAGGCTGTCAAGTCTCTGCAGCCCCCCACCCAGGCACCGGGCTTACATTAGTGGTGAAGGTGCGAGACAGAAGCTCCTCTCGCTGTCGTTCCTGTTGCTCCCGTGTGTAGCGCCGATGCTGGAAGTTTCTGAGAGCAGTCTGCAAGTGCTGGACATCATACTTTAACTGGTCAACACGACTGGAATTGACAGAGAGAGATTACATTCCAGAAACCCAGAGCGGCATAATTTGAGATGGCCATGCTTTGTATTCAAAAAAGATGTTTCCTTCCTTCCCACTACACCACTCCACACTTTCCCAAAATAATCTGATTTTGATCAGTGATGTCAAAAATAAAGAAATAGCTTATGGTTAAAGAAGGGTTGTAGCACACAAGATTCCAGCAGCTTTACTTAAATATCTGCAGGTCTCTGATTCTGGATGCATGACAGAGAACAGGTGACAGGAAGCAGGGTCAATGACCTCTTCCTGACCTTCTATGGATTACATCGGTCTCCTAGAAGCCCAAGGGCATCTTTGGAGTAAAGTATCAGTGAAGTTTCATAAACTTTTGGGAGCAGGGGTTGGAATAAAGGTGTTGAGGGTGGTTTCACTTTAATTTCATGGGGGCGTATCAAATGTAAGATCAGTATTTCATTATAAATAGACTGATTGAAATGATTAAGAGCAAGACTTCATTTCAACCCAAGAATGTAGTGGGAACCAAAGGGCAGAGTAAAACTCCCAGCTGCATAAGGCTTCAAGTGGCCACAAGTCTGATCAGAAAAACAGTACTGGAGGCAAAATTACCACTGACAGTTGTGAGGTAGGGAGACCCCAGGCTTCTGAGCAACTAACCCCGCAGTCTTTTTATTCTGAGGAAGTCTCACTCGAAGAGAATCATGCCATGTATGGGACTTATCTCTGCACAGTCTCATTTTTCAACATTCAAGCAGATTTTCAGAACACTCAATAGTTTTCCCTGGGAGGAAGCCTGCCCTGCTGGGGCAGGGTACCAGGACACTCACAGTTTGGCATTCTGTCTTTTATTAGGGGGCTCCTTGCTGGACAAAATCTCCAGACGTTCTAGATGGCTGAATATCTGGTCTATGCTTGCTTGGATTTCATTTTCTACTACTGCACAAAAGAAAAAAAAAAACTGCTGAAAAAAAGATAGTAAACTTAGCTTAGATGATTGATAAATCAAACTTTTTTCCATCTCTAATAAACTCAAAAAATGTACTTCAAAAGGAGAAAAATGCACATACTAATGAATCATGTAAACAAATTCAAGTTATACTAAGTGACTCTGTAAATGTTTCATTCATATATATAGCTGTTAGGGCCACAGCAATACCACTTTTTTAAAAAGCTGAAGATAAATCTGTAGAAATAAATTTCCTGCCTTTAGAAAATCAAGTGAACATTTAAAGGTTGTTCAAGTAAATATTTTAAGAAAAATGGCATAGTTCTGATACAGAACGTGGTCTCTTTTCCTGAGATTATTCTCAGATATGAGTTACAAATACCTAGTGAAAAGACTCCTGATTGAATTCCCTACAGTAATGAGGTTAAAAAGAAAGCACAAAGGAGAAAATTAATACATGAAACACAGGGAAGAGCTCCCTTAATGCTTTCCATAAGAATGGGCAGGCTAATGCTGAGTCCCCAAAATAGACCAAATATCAATAGGAAAGGCCCAGGAAAGAATCCACAGAGGTAGAGATATGATAAATACAGTTATTTTCCTTATCCCTTTTGATAAACAGTCAAAATGACCTCTTTTCCATTTCTAATCATGCAACAATGAGATTGTTGGAAAGGCAAACAAAGTTGATAGATAGAAACTAAACTGTGCACCAGAAGAGGCACCCAGACTGCTTCTTACCTCACAAAGAAATGACAGTAAAGACAGCAATGTCACCTTCCTCGGTTAGCCTACAGCCACCAAATACAGTTTAAATGAGAACCACATGAGGCACAGAAACAAGAGCTGTTTTTGAAGGTGCAGAAAGGAGACAGGAGAAAGCAGGAGAAACAGGCATGGAGACAGCCAGGAAGAGATAAGAAGGCAGCTTCAGCAAGGTGTGGGTGACGGGTACGATCGACTCAGAAAAAGACCTTTTCTTATAATAGAAAAGAAACTTCAAAAAGTAAAACACAGCAGTCTTTTCCAAGAAACCACGGTGTGGGAACTAAACTAATTAACACTGCCATTTGTTCCTGAATAATCCTCCTAAAACGCCACAGCTCTCAGCTCAGAAGAAATGACCAATTCCGGTTAAACATCTCTGAATTTTTATGGCACACATTCCTTTAAGGACTAGGTAATTAGATTAAGACAGATGGAGGGCTGCTTCCATTCCCATAGAGCCATGTCAGGTTGAGTGGAGGGGTAATGGGGGATAAGACTTGTAGATTCCAAAGGCCACAAAAGGGAAATCAGTGACTTTGCCATAGGGTTTTTCTGTCTACCCTAACAGCACAACTCATTCCACACTGAATCATTTAGCCCCTGAGGCAGAAATGCAGTCAGGAAACCCAGCCCATTAGCCCCGTGTCAGCAGAGAAAAGACTGGTCTCCACAGTGAATTACTCACAGTGCAAGGACTGCTTGTCGGCTGTCTCCAGGCGTCCCATGTGAGACTGGATCTCGTGGACCTGTCTATCAAAGGGAGAGGGAGGAAATGAGTGAGGCAGGAGTCATCAACAGCACTTCGGTCAGGAAAGACAATTTTTCTGATGCCAACATGTAACTGATTAAAATTGACAGCATCACTGAACTGTAAAGTTTGTATGTGGCACTTGAGGCTACATGGTTTCTGATATTTTGACATTAGTATTAATAATACTGATGGGCCGCATTTATTGAGTGCTTACCGGATCTGAGTCATTGTGTACAGTCAATAACCCTACAAGGAAAGTACTATTATCCTCATTTTATAAATAAGACAGCTGAAGCCCAGAAAGGTTACGTAACTTGTTCAAGGTCACAAAGCAAGTGATAAACCTCAATCTGGAACCAGCCAATCCCAGCTGGGTTCTTTGACCCAATGTGCTGAGCACTGGTCTGTACTAGGGAGAGTCAAAGGACAAGAGAGATATAATCCTTGTCCTTGAGAAACAATGTAATTAGGAACAACAGGCTAGAGAGCCCTGAAAAGTCCCAAGAACCTTTAAGAGAACACTAACACAGGTAAGCGTAAACAAGCAGAAAGCTGAGGAGCGATGCACAGTGGTACCAAGCAAAGGCGAGTAAATAAGAGTAAGCTGGGGCAAGTGTTTTGGAGGAAGGGAGTTCTGAACATCATTTTAAAGAAGGGAGACATGCCTGCTGAAGGAAGATATGAAGAAAATGATATGCCAACATGTCACGTGGATTGCCAGCAGGCTGGCCTGCCTGAAAGAGAGCTGGGGTCAGAGGGGAGAAGGGAAAGAGGCAATTAGCTGGAGAAAACCATCAGAGGAAGGCTCTGAAAGATAGAGATCTCCTGTTTGGTAAACATCTTTCCTTGACAACACAAGCAAATGCCATCTCCTTTGGAAATGCAACCGCTGTACCCTAGACTTCTGCCAGACAACAGGCCCCAGAACACTCTCTGGAGGTGACACAGGGCTTGACCAAGGCCACGCTGAGCCCTTCCTAGCAGTCCTCTAAGATCTCCCCTCAACAACTGTCTCCTGGTGCTTCTGGTCTCCACTTTAGAGCCACACGAAAGGGGCCTGCTGAGCTCTTGTATCATTTCCAACCCTTGAGGGAAAGGTCAGCAACCAGTCTCTACTGCAAGCACTGCAAAGTATGACCCCCAATATGACCAGTGCAAGCCAGGAACCCAAACTTGGTTTCAACTTGTTTCTTGTCTTTCCCAGGGCTTCCCTATGGTCTCTAAACATGACATGTGGTACCAGAAGCAAGGCCAGCTCTCTACTGACTCTCAAGAGTGCTCCCAGGCAAGATCTGCAGCCCTGAGATAACCAGAAATCACTACTTAAGAGTCTGAGAGACCAGACAGCTGCCTCAGTAAAGGTAAGTCCAGGTATTTTAGAATGGGGGCATGTGGAGATGGAGCCAGATGTAGGAATGCAGCTTGAAGTAACCAACATCTGGATCAGGCTAACCATGGAAACAACTATAGAGGACTGGAGGGTAATGCTGATGGTGAGGAGAAACGGGACCTTTACTGAAGGCCTGGATGTAGGCAATGAAGATTTCAATGGTAGCCTAACACAGAAAATCTGAGAATTAGTGGCATTATCGTCAGGAATAGGAATATAATAAAAGGTTGTGGGGAGCAAAGAATAACCAAGACAGCTCTTAAGTATGAAAGGGATGACTTGTTCTGCCTGTTACTAAGACTTACTACAAAGCCATAATAATAAAAGCAGTATGATAGTAGTAAAGGGGCAAAGAGACAAACCCTAACCCCGTGACCCAAGTGAAAAGACTAGAAGCCAGAAGCAGTCCTACATATTTGGAGACTTGGTGATATAAATCAGTGGGAAAAGAATGGACTACAATAAATACTGATGGCTCAGTTTGTTATCCATATGGAAAAAAGATACCTCACGTAATACACAATAATAAACTTAAGACGGTCTAAAGTCTAAATGTAAAAAGCAAGGCTTTCAAACTTGCTGAAGAAAATATAGGAGGGCATACTATGACTTCAGGTTAAGGAAGAATTTCTTAAACTAAGCAAAAAACAAAACTACCCTCCAAACCCCAGAAATCACAAAAGAACAGACTGATAAATTTGACTAAATTAAAAAAACAAACTTGTGTTATATGTACCATTAAAAAAAATAAAAAGACAGAGACAAGAAGTATCTGCAGCAGATAAAAGACTAGTGCCCAGAATACATAAAGAGCAGCTACACATCGATATGAAAAGTCAAACAAAACAATTTTTTTTTTTAATGGGTAAAGGGCAACTGACCAAGGAAATCCAAATGGTCAATAAGTATATGAAGAAGTACTCAGCTTTACTAATAATCAGGAAAAAGCAAATAAAAAAGGAGATACCACATTTTTCCCATTAGATTGGCATATTTTAAACTTAAGGATGAGGGATTCATGGTAGGCTAAACAATGGTATCTAAGGGATGGTAGGAAAGTTTCCAATATTCCACCACAGGACTGCTTTTGGCTCTGTTTTGTCCAGTATTTTAAAATAATCAACTAATGCTTATGAAATTTGCAAAAGTTCTTGCTATAATGAGTGGTGAGGCTACTGTGCCACAAAGCAAGTATCAACATCTTTCATTTAGGCTAAAATACTAAGATGATATTTGTCAGGGATGAAAAGTATTTTGACTTAATGTAAGTGAAATGCACAATATAGAACAGCATTCAATTCTGGGAACTATTTGTCAAAGGAATCCTGTCAAAGGTTTTTCCCCAATGGAAGATGAATAGGATGACTGAGAGTTTAGAAGTTAAGTCATGAAGAGGAATGGGTAAAGAGCTAGTGATATTAAAACATTTGGAAAAAGGAAAAAAAATTAAATGGGCAGCTCGTACTCTTCGAACATCTAGAATTGACATATAGGAAGAAGAATGGGTTTGTACTCTGTTTTTGCTCCTTAAGGACCCAGAACCAAAAGGTACAAATTTCAAGATGATAGATTTGTACCTTTTGGGGTGGAGCTCCTGCATGTTGAAACACAGGGTATACAAATTGGTCTTCCTGATCAAAGTGAGTTGGAATGCAAGATCTTGCCAGTCCCTTTAAATTCTTAAATTGAATGAGGAAACTGGGGAGAGATGCTGCCAACACCCACAAAACTGTATGAACCCTATGAACATGCTCTATTTTCTAAGCTAAAATGGATAAACTAAGTTGCAGAGCAACATTATTAACTTTTCCCATGCTTTGAATAAACTAGAAAATGTAACAGCCAACAAATGCAGAGACTTAACCAATCTCTACATTTCACGCTTGAGAGGAAATAAGTGCATACATAAACTGAACTAAGGATTCAGACGACACACTCCAAGCCAGCAAGGAACAGGTGATACACAAATACGATGTGGGAGTGTGGACACCAGAAATGGGGAGTCCCAGCCCTGCCTAGCATGGGGCCCATGGTGGGCTTGGGTGGTAACATAAATAAGCAGAGACCTATTAGCAAGTAAGCAAGAATCATTGTTGTTGAATTTTTTTAAAAAGGACTGTAGAATATCAAGGAAGATTTTAAAAATAAAATTGCTTTTTAAAAGCCCATGGAACTAGACACCACTAGGCATCCATGCTGCCTTTGATCACTGGGAGCAGGATACAGGGTTTTGGAGTTAAAAGATCTGGGTTGAAGTTCTACTTCCATACAGAGTAGCTGAGGGGCAAAGAACCAATCATTTAACTCCCTCATGCCTCAGTTTCCTCGACTGTAAAGCAGAGTATTATTAATCACAATTACTTAAAGGGTCATAGATTTAAAGGCAGTACAAAACTGCTGGGTAATCTAAACAGCATTATACAAAAGTTTGTTGTTTTTACTTACCTTTTCTTAAAAGTACTGGCGACCCTTGAACAACATGGGTTTGAACTGAGCAGGTCCATTTATACAAGCATTTTTTTTCCCTAAGCAGTGGGAACTATCAGTTTCATTTTCAACTTAGGTCTTGCCTCTACTATAGTTAACCTCTCATCAGAAAGCAAAACTAAAAAAGGAAAAACTGGTCTTGAGATAAGGTAACAGTTTAAAGGTGAAAGTGATTTTCATCAAAATCACCTGGGGAGCTTTTTAAAAATAGAACTTCCTGTGTTCCAGATCTACCAAATCAAAATTACTAGAGATAGTAAGGGCCAGGGCACTGAATGGTCCTGGATTACTTAGGGGACATACAGGGTACCTTTACAACCACTGGGATCTCAAAAACAATAACCTGGCTATTAGTTCCTCTATAAAATTCATAATGCAGTATTATTTAAGTGTAAAATGTTTATTCTGATTTTCACTTTCTTTTCCAATCATTGTTAAGGCAGTGTAAGAGTTTTCAAGATATATGACTTTAAAATGTTCACCTAATGCCAGTGCACTTTCAGGGACATGGCAAGAGATACTACAAATTGGGTTCAAAGTTCCAATAAAACTAATATTTCAGTTACTGTTGTGTCAACTCAGCTACAATAATTAATTTCTGCAATTCTGCAAAAGTAAACTGCTTATGCTCACAGTATTCCATGTGTTCTCTTTTAAAGACAATCACCAGTATTATGGAGCTGCAAAGAGCCTTACAGCTTCACTAGACCAAAATTTTTATAGATGAAGAAAACCAGGACCTCATCCTGGTTCGCTATTTGAGCAGAGAGGTGGACTGTAATGGATTTGCCCTTTCTTAGTAACTTGAGCATGATTTTGTTTCATTCCTTTTCCAACTGACTCACAGGTTTAGTCCCTTCTTATAATTTTTATGAGAATAGGGCTCCCAGTGTAAGAGCAAATTCTTCCACTGTAATACCTCTACAAAGAAGTTCTATATTTTTACCCACACAAACCAAACTTCATCACTAAAGTAAAAAGAAAAAACCCCATAAACTGAGAAAATGAATTAATAAATGGATCATTATCCTCTTATTCCTAATGCTTCAAAGTACTGACTTTTGTTGTGACTTCATTAGAGAGGCAGTTCCCTATTTTATTTCATGGCCAGGCCCTGGGGGTGTGATTTTAAGTGTTTTTATCAGCACCAAATTACACGATAAACTAGAAGAGTTGTTAAAATAGGATGTATAGGTATATAAGCCAAAACCTGAAAACAGAGGTTCAAACAGATATGTGTACACCAATGTTCATAGCAGCATTATTCACAACAGCCAAAAGGTGGAAACAACCCAAGTGTCCATCAACAGATAAATGGATAACAAAATGTGGTATGGATGTACATTTACTTAAGGAGGAGTATTATTCAGCCATAAAAGGGATATCTAATACACGCCATGACATGGACTTTGCAAACAATTACACTAAGTCAAAGAAGCCAACCACAAAAGGACAACAAATACTGAATAGTTTCACTTACATAGGATATCTAGAATAGGCAAATTCAGGGACATAAAGTAGAACAGAGGTTACAAGGGGCCTGGGGGGTAAGAAATGAGGAAGTACTGCTTAATGGGTACATGAGTTTCTGTTTCGGATGCTGAAAAAGTTCTTGAAATGGACAGTGGTAATGATCACACAATATTGTGAATGTACTTAATGTCACTGAATGGTACATTTTTTTAATGGTAAATTAAAGGATAACAGTAACTTAGTTTTAACTTAAACTTTAATGGTTAATTATATATCAATGATACTTTGATTTAAAAAATTTAATGGTTAACTTTTAAATGGAAAATTTTGTTATCCATATTTTACAATAAAAAAATCATAAAAATTTTCTCCAAAAAAATAGGATAGGTATGACCCTATTACCATACTCAATTATGTATCCCATTAAGTTCTAAAAATGCAGTACAAGACGAATAAAGGATTCGACCAAGGAATTTAAGTTATGAAAAGTTAACCCAAAATTCAATTTCCTTAAAGATAACTTGTAATCAAGTATGAATAACAAATATTACTGAATGCTACTTGTACAGAAATTTCCTTGTACCATAAATACACGGTCTTTAGTATAAACCAAACCAGAGTAAAAGAAATAAAGTCTTTTTTAGCAACAAGATTACGGTCAATCAAGAGTAGGGACTGACGTCACTTAGGAGCTGTGAGCTATAATGAACCTTTTTCCCAAGGACCTTAGCCCAGTGATGGATCCTTTCAATCGCTTAAGGAGATCTTGTTTGTACTGTACATTTACCCTCCACACCATCCTGCCACACGTGTTTTTCCCAAGGACCTTAGCCCAGTGATGGATCCTTTCAATTGCTTAAGATCTTGTTTGTACTGTACATTTACCCTCCACACCATCCTGCCACACGTGTTACCTCTTTTTTCGTACATGTGTTGGTTCTCCAACAACAAAGTGAACTCCTATATGCAGGGCCCTCTACCAACCCGAAGTACTGAGTTGCCAGGTACTGGACAAAGTATGATGACCCGCAGGTGTGACTGTCCCTTCAACTCGTCTACCCAGTACGCAGTCACGGCCTGGAATACCCCAGGAGCCATGCAGCCCTACGTCTCCGACTCCTAGGCCGGGCCTTCTGTCAGAGATTGAGCACTTCCCAGCGGCCCCCGGCAGAGCCCGGGCGGAAGGACTCGGCCTCCAACACTGGTGGACGCCCGAGGCTCTAGCACGGGGTACCTGCCTAGCCCAGCCTGGCTTCACCCCCGCCCTTGCCCCGACTCGACCCTCACTTGTGCGTTTGCTGGTACAGCGGCTCCATATTACCGGCCCCGCCGGGTCCGGCTCGAGCTCCCCCGGAACACGTCTTCACAGACCCCCTCCTGACTTCCGGCTTCCGGTCACGGGACCCCACTCCACCCCCTACCCCTACCCCGCTCCCCTGGCAGGCTGGGGCTGCCCCCCATCTACGCCTTTCTGGTGGTGTTTGCTATAGAGAAGGGCAGTGAGGAAAGAGGCCTGAAGAAGAAGGTTAAGTGTAGTCAGAGGTTCTGCCTGGGATGGAGAACGAGGATGTGTGCGTTTTGACAGGAGGCTATCTTCAACATACAGTCAGGCATTCGCGAGGGCAGTCGTAGAATAGTGACATGAGGTCCCCACAGCAAGGTTAGAGCGTGTGGGCGGGTACCCGCTCTTTCCTGCGGGAGAAAGGTCAGGGGCGCGTACCTGATTGGCTTCGTATATTAAACTGTTTAATTGTGGGTCTGGAGTTTTCTGTCTTCATTGGAGTCTCTGGCTCAAGCTTCTCATGTCAAATTTGTCCTCTCTTGCGTCCCTCCCCCCGCCCCCGCCGCCATTTATTTATCCAATAAACCCACAATGAATGAGTGGTAACTACGTGTCCCGTGTGCTGTACGAGAAACCCGGTTCCTGCTGCTCTCAAGAGGTCGCGGTCTAGGAAAGGAAATACAATATGTATACAAATAAATATCTACAAGAAATAAAGTCCAGAGGGACTGAGCCAAACTGGTGTAAGGTTAGATAGGAGATGCAGGAAAGTCTTAAGGTAGGAGGCGGCATTTGAATTAGGACTTGAAGGGTTTGGACACTTCGGCCTCTCCCCGTCGTCCTAACCTTTTTCCACCCTCCCACGCTTATCTGCAGTTCCTCCCGAGGGAGGAGATGTTCCTTTTCCTTTGACAAGTTGATGCTCCTATTTTCCTGTATCCTGGAGCCCACCCAACTTTGTCCACCCATGTACATTCTTCCCCATTATTTTTCCATTTATTCTGATATTTATTTATTGATGAGCAACTACTATTACCAGGCACAGATATTGGAGGTAGGACTACGAGTAAGATACAGCCCCCAAATCTCTCATCTTTTACAGTCTGTTGAAAAGGCTAATCATGTCCTCAAGCTATATTATCAGGTAAAATAAGTGCTACAACTGACACAAAGTACCATTTCAATGAAAAAGAGCAAGAAGGGTTTCTAGACTAAATAGCATGTGAATAGGGCCTTCAAGAATCAACAGAGCATTAACGGTGTCTTGCACACACTAACCACTCTGTAAATGCTTATTGTTTGGGCCTGGTGGAGATGAAGGAGAGGGCTTTTGAGGCTGAGCGATAGCTTGAGCAAGGGAATTTAGGAGGAAAGAACATGGAGCACCTGTGACTGAGTTTACGGGGACTGGGGACAATAATAGTATTAGAAAGAAAGTCAGAGCCAGATCATGGGGGATTTAAATGTCATGGTTAGAATTTTATTTATAGATTGTCATGCTATAGATAGTTGGAAGCCATCAGAAATTGGACAGAAATTTTAAATTTTCTCCAAATAAATTTTTATGTTACATTCTTCTTCTTTGAACCTCATAGTATTCCTGTGAGGTGGGCAAGGCAGATAAGGGAATTGAAGACCAGAGGACCTCCCCTCTATCTCTCAGTCTCAGGCTTTTATATGTACTTAGGCTTTACTCTAAAGAAAAGAAAACTCCATCCCTCCATCTTGCTGTATTTTTAACTTCCATCCCCTTACTTTTTCTTTGCTAACCCACTTGGACAATTGATCTACACTGCCAACGTTCTCTATGGGTGGCTTGCCCTCTAACCTCTCCTTTGTTCTACTAGAAATGGTTTTTAGGCTCATCAGCGTCCACCTGACTTAGTCCAGTGGTCTCTTTCCATGATGCATCCTACATATATTCACTAAGCTCATACTATGTATCAGGTGCCAATGCAAGGGCTAGCATACAAACGTGAGTAAGACATCAGCTTGCCATAGAAGTTCTTTAATATATTGGGAGGGACCCATTTACACAGATAATTAGAATACTATGTGATATGTCGGGGTTAGAGATACTTGGGAACTATGGGATGACAAAGAAGGGACACAGCCTAGTTTGGGGTTCAGAAGGGCTTCAGAAAGAAGATGATACCTGAACTGAGTCTTGATTTATTTATTTAATGCTGGTTACAGTACTCGTGATGCTGCATCATCCTTCACACTGCCCATAAATACTGACTTCCCATGACCTCAAGTTTGTTATGTGCTTCATTGATGACGACACTAATGGTAAGTTTTGCCTAGAGTACACAGGAAAATATGAATAATAATTCACTGTTCAGAATTTTGTAGTATAAATGTATAATACGATACTTCCAAAAGTGTTTTCTCCTGAATTCTGTAGGCCTTAATCACTGCATTCCTAGAATACGATCTTTTCCAGTGTTGACTGCACCCCTGCCTTCCACACACTGAAACTGGTTTGTAGGGGGAAGGGTGGTTAAGCTAGGGGCCTGAGCAAGAAAAGAAGTCCCATTCATGCAAGGAATGTAAGGCTCACAACTATCCCTGCTTAAGACTGACCCAGTGGCTGCTGGGTTCACTACACTGATCAGAACAGAGAACCTTAATTGTAAAAGCCAGTTGGCAGAGTAATGGTCTCATGTGGGGAAGAGAGGCATGGCCTCCTTGAGAAGAGGGCCTGACATGTGGTGCAAAGCCTGTGGAGGGTGGTGGGGTGACTCCCTTACTCCATGGAGATGGAGGTGGGGAGCCCCGCACAGGGCAAAGGATGCTGCCATCCCCACTATTCTGGTGTGCTAGACAGTCTTGTGGTCAGAACACAGGCTGGCAAGAACCATGGCATGGATCCACACAGGTGGCTCAACTTCAAGGGTCAGTGGTGAGCTGTCAGAAGCTCAGAGTCCTGAACTCATCCTGTATCCAGTGGGAATGGGAATCACCCCAAATCAACAAGTTGGTACCATTCTGGTGGCCTGATCTTGTGTAATTCTATGAAAGAAATACTGTGCTGGTCAACAGAAGCAATCTGCTTGCCAGGTTGCCTTGGAAAACCCATAAGCCTGAGCCCTGAAGCTTTTCAGGCACCTGGCCGACCCCATGCACAGGCTAGAGGGTTGGAGAGTATCCTGAAGAGGAAAAACAGACTGGAATGATTCCAGCCACTGAAAGGGAACTGATAAAAAGTCAAAGATGGCACTCCAAACTGTGGGGCCCTGAGGCCTGAGACCCGGGCCAGGGACGTGGCTTGCCTAGGTTTTAGGACAATATTGTATATTGGAATAAAGATGGTTTCATATTCTTTGCTACTGCTCCTATTAAAAGGTGGAGTCTAAGTCCATTCCCTTTTAATCTAAGCTGTGACTTAATGACTTCCTTAGCCAATAGAATGTGGCAGAAGTGAAGTTCTGAGTTTTCCAAGGCCAGGTCATAAGAAGTCCTGCAGCTTCCACCCAGTCTTTCGGAGCATTCATCCTTGGAAGAGGTCCAACTACCCACAGGCCATCATGCTGGAAAGCACACATCTGATGGTGCTCCAGTCAACGTGCCCAGTTGGGCCCAGTCTTCCAGCCAAGGCACCAGACATGGAAGTGAAGCCATGTTGTACCCTCTAGACTAGTCTACCCACCAGCTGAATCCCACTAAGTGACTTCTGTAGACTCCACATGAAACAGAAGAATCACCCTACTAAGCCCATGCCTGAATTCCTATCCTGGGGAATCAAGAGATGTATAACATTTTAAGCCACTGAATTTTGGAGTAGTTTGCTATGAAGCAGTAGACATCTGCCCTTAAAAAGTTTATCATCTAGTTGAAGAAACAGGTACAGGGCTTATAAAAGGTTTCAGTGCAAAACAATGTATGAATGTGTAATGAATAGTAAAGACAAGTTCTGTCAGAACACAGGGAAAAAAGAGATCCCTTTGAATCTGGATGATGAAGAAAGTCTCTCAAGAAGGGATGCACTTTTAGCTGGACCTTGAGTACAAGAGGGACTAGGACGTACAGAGAGGCAGGCAGAAGGCATTCCTGGCAAGCAGAGAGGTACAATTGGGAAGGCGTACATAGTTGCAGGCAGTCTCTGTAGTTCCTCTTGCACGGAGCAGAAGGTTTCTGCAGTAGAGGAAGATGGAGGTGGTGAGTCAGTCGCGCCTTGGACAGGAATAATGTATTGACTCCATCTGTGGTCACGGGGAACATCTGGAGGGCTTTGAGCCTTGGGCAGTGGAATCGAGCAGTATTTCAGGAAAATCAGTATGATGACTTCATGCTCTCCTTTTAATATGAGCTTCAAGAGGTGCCCCACAGTTCTACACTTCCAGGATTTCCAGGATTTGGCCAACCAATCCATAGTTAGCCTGTTTGCTCCATTTGCAGTGTGATTAACTTGAATATACTCTTAAGAGTGTTTTTGATCTGTCCAGTTGGAACTTCATTCTTATCTCTGAAACCGGATTTATCTGTTGTGTCTCTCTGGCCATCCCAATCAGGGTGAACAGAAAAATTCTGTTATCCCTTCTACCAAACCATCGGTTCTTTCTACACTCCCCCTCCGTGGTCTCTGCACCACTCCCAGTGCACCTTCTGATCCTGTTTCCTTCTGAGCCTCCTTTGCCCTTATTGTCTGTTTCACCTCTGCCAAATGCTCCTGCACCACTTTGCACAAGCTGTGGCACTTCCCCTACCAAACTGTGTCACCGCGCCTACAAAACGGTAAGAGCCTGTCATGAGGTCCTCATCATTTCTCAACCCCTGCCTCCCCTTTCCAATCACTCTCTGCAGCCGAAAAATCTTTCTAACACAGAGATTTGATGTCATATACATGTTGAGCCTTTCATTAGCTCCCTGGTGCCTACAGAACACAGTAAAAATTCTAATCTTGGCAGGCAGAGCCCTCTTTACTGGCCACATCCCTGGCCATTTCCCCCATCTTAATCAGAACTAGGTCCAGGCTGCAGTCACACACTGCCCTCCAGATAGCTGCTGTACCATCCTGCCTTCTCGACTCCAAGAGAACTTTGCCACAGCCAGGAAAGACACGTCTGATGGCTTTTGCTTTGGACAGAAACAAAACCCTCATCACCC